TATATATATATACACGTATCTATTATAATGAAAATATAAATACACATATCAAGAACCCGTTACCTTGTACAACATCAGCAAAACTAGATCTTTTCAATGTCCATAGGAAACTTGATAGGTCCGAGTTCGAGCTTGTTAGGTTCCAACGATCAAAACGGACATCCGCTGCCAGGATCCACTCCTGCCACGTGCAACGCGTCCATGGTGCCACCGACCAACGGGATCTATTCTTCGGACGGCGGTGCCAGCATGTTAAGCTGCCTGCTACCGTCGTTGCCTACCTTGCCGCCCTTCTCCGCGTCTCACGACGTGTTTCGACACGGCGAGATGTTACGTGCGGGAATCGCTTACCACGATTCCTCCCGACAGCACGCTAGGCACATGCAGCGTACCGATGTCACCTAACTTGGCGACGGTTCCCGATCTTGCGATCGCTCCACAGGAGAAGCGTGTCGCTTTGTGTTATAAACGAATCGAAAAGTGACAGAATTAGAGCAGAGCACTAGATAGCATTTACGAAGTAGAGTACTTTACGAATTAGCTTATAAGGGCATGGATATTTAAGGACGATGTGTAGCTGTCGTGGACGCGCGTATATTGAAAATGCCGCCGGTCGCGGTGATATAGTGATAAAATTAATGTGATGAATGTGTAACGATGAACGTAGCAATAATATGTTGTATTAGAAATTTTTTACTCGGTGCTATGTGTATGTGGATTAAAATATATACACAATCTATTAATAATAAATCATTTAATAACAAAATGTATTCTGTTTCTCTTTTTTTTTTTAGATTAGCGATATGTGAATATATAAGGATTTGGTTTCAGATTTCGACGTTTTATTGAAATTTTATGAAAACGAATTTTAAATATGTAAAATGAGATTCATTTGTAGTATATGTCAAATTGCAGTATCAAGCTTGATAATTATTTATACGAGATTCATGTTGCCTTCAATAAAATATCACGAAATTGGCTTCTGCCAGAAAAGAAGATAATCTCATTCGCTTTAGAACAGAACTGGAAATTCTTACAATTCGATCTTTTGTGCTAATCATACTTTAGTCTAAATGATTACTTACGTATTTTAATTATTTTGGATCATTAGACTCTTCCATCGGTTACTTAAGTCACCGAGCCGAAAAAAGGAGCTTTTCTTTTATGAATCTCAAACTCGGGAAAATCGAAGAAAAAAAGCCATAAGAATCTATCATTTGCATTCTCTTGACGAAAAAAGTCTTTTTACCTCGAGCATTCATAATGATCTTTGAAATCGTAATCACGATTCTCGAGATCCACAGCGGTCTTTGAGATCATAATCAGATGATTAGATTCATTTCTTCGCGAGGCTCACTATGTCCTAGAACAAATGGCCAATTTCTACTGGAGATCCTTTCGAGTTCTCCTTCTAGGAGCATCAACAGATCATCGAAATATCGCAGCTCATGAATATCTTCTACCAGCTTCCTTGTATCACTCGACAAATCAACCGCTTTTTTTTCGTCGGACTGTCAATGTAAAATTCGCAGATATGTAAAGACTATAGTTATATGTATAAGCTATTAGGTTTTAGTCAATCATAGAATTAGAGAAATCTCGAGATATAAATAAAATAAATTTTTCTTCTGTATTCAAGTAAATTCAAGTGGAAATAGTCTTGCGTAGAATTTTAATTATAAAAATATATATTTGAAAAATTGCAATCTCTGTTGAATAACTCTTCAAAAAATTTCGCTGACTATGAATTGGTATTCATTAAAAGTCTAAGACTATTCAATTCTTGCTAATAATTTCATGTCGATGAAAGCGCGAGATACTTACTTGAAAGTTTGTACATAAACTGTATATATTTCTGTGTATCTCTTTATTGCCAAGCTGCAGCCGTTCTATTTTATCGCGAAGATGGCGTATCCAATTATTCGAATCGGAAACTGTTGGCGGTACTTCAGCGTCCGTTTCTATGGCCAGAGCCAATCTGGTTAACCGATCGTGAGAGGATGTGCCATCGCAGAAAGAATTCTCTTCCTCTAGCAGAATCCTTGCTTCTTCGGGATCGCTTTGAAGATTCTCAAGGATAGATGTTACTTCGTTGATGGCGATATTTCGATCCTGCGGTTTAATTTATTTCGTCTTAATCTGTGTGACAATTTAGGCAAATCAACCTATTCCAATCGGAAGATTCGAAGAGATAGTTTTCAAAATTCCTCTTTTACATTATTTTAATAATCCATAAGTTATATTGAAAAATTGATCTTTTGCCCGTCGAAGAATCAATGACTTTCAATTTTATTACAATTCGGAGCTTTAATATAACGCGAAAGAGCATTACATTTCCAAAACTGCCGATACAATCTCTCGACGCGATCGCCAGCTCGTCGCAGAGACACATCGGAGTGCTTCGCGAATCGCTCTGCAAGCTCCAATCGGTGCTCTGTATACCGGAAGTGTCTTCGAGGGAGAGTGGCCGGCTGATCGAACCCTTGTTGTCCCCGATGGAATTCAATCTGTCATAGCTTGACCTGCTGCTGCTGATCGTTCCCGTACTTCGCACATTGCGGTCTCGATCAGCTGGATGATCATCACCCGATCTTATCGATGCGTTAAAATCGCCCTTAATCCGTGGCTCGCATTCGAAAGTAGACGAGGAAATCGCGTGTATCCTTGCATCCGTGACTGGTAAGTTCAGAAGCGTCCTTAGCTGCGTTGCACCTGCGTCCGTGATTTTGTGTATATTTTACGTATATATTTCTCCCTGATTGTATTTACTAAGCTCTAATAAAGAACACTAGATAAAAGAAAATAAGAATTTAAGGCAATATCAGGAGTAATAAAGTATTGATCTCTTTGCAAGTCTAGAAACCTAATTACACTGTAGATAAGTTTACAAGGAACTGATTCTAATTAACGTTTCTCTCTTGATTTTTATTATTTTTTCGTGAATGTTTCAAAGTTTTTTAATTTTGTTTTGACACTTTCGCAGAGACTTTAGTCTTAATATAAGTATATTTTATTATACATAATGTATTATTCGAGATATTAAAAATAATAATTTATCGCTATATTTAAGTTATGCCCTAATAATTTTGTTCGTCTGACGGGGAAAATGTCGATCGAGCTCGAATTCGCATCATCGCTCAAGTCTCGGAGAGCTACTTCCATTAACTTTCTTCAGCTACTGCTCTGACAGACTCAATCGAGTCTCACCTTAAGATCGAAGCTCGAGCGCAACAATGCCAGCAGCAGAGTTTTGCAGTCTCACGCTACTCGGCATCTTTCGCAGGCGTACAAAGCTACCGCGGGGACGTTGGAAATGAAGTAAATCTGATACGTCAAGCAACTCGATTCCGCGCATTGGTAAACCGCATAACTTTATTTAGGTCAGGTGCCGGCTTCGCTCGGAGCACCAGTTCAAGGGACAAGCGTGTTTCTATCGGCACTTCCTTCGTACGATTCGAACAAAAATAGAATGAGAAAAAGAGGAGAGAATTTTGTTACATTCTACACGTACCGATTTGCTTGGAATCGATGAGACAGTCCAACTGTTTTCGGCAACGGCGAGACTTTCGTTCTCTACTCTCGTTCTCCGGCTTAAGTCTCGCTTGTGAGAAGATAAAACGACGAGGAGACGGTACGAGTATTCGGTATTCTTGAGATCGGATCAGTCTTTCCGGAGTGTAGCAAATGGCTTTGAATTCCTCCCTCATGTTGTCCTGATTGTCGTCTTCAACCATGGACCAACTATTCTGCATGTCGGCAAAATTATTCTATTAATCTTGCATCTATCATCCGGATTTCAAGAAATTCTTTTTTGGCTTAGATAACAGTTTATAGTCATAAAAATAAGGTGCACTTGGTTGGAATGCGAAATTCGAATTTTTTATGACTGTCCAGTCGCTTACAATCGGCGCCGCAGGCAGGCTCCGAGCGGTTCGGAGTAGGGGATTCATCAGGTAAGAAAGGACTCTTTGAAAAGGGAACAAACGATTTCTATTGGTGCATATGGATGTTAGTGGTAGAAGGTGACATGGACTTGGAAGGACAACTGTATGCTGCAGGAATTGCAGATTAAAGGTAATTTTGCAATTTTGCAATTTTATATACGAAATATCACTATGTAAAACTTTAAACGCGTTTTTCTCGAAATGACTTTTTTGAAATTGGCGTGCAGCATAACTTCCACAATTTTTATCCGATTGACTTGAAATTTTGAGAGGATCTTTGTAAATCAATTATCTAAAGAAGGGTTTTGCAAAATAACAAAAACTGTTTTAAGGCTATTTTTATAGCAAATTTTTAGGTGAAAAATGACACTTTTTTTTCAAACGTTCACCATTTTCATAAAAATTGATATTTCGTAAAACCTCTACATATTTCTTTAGTAAATATCATATAGAAAATAAAAATTTCTGGTTTTTTGTTCTAGGTCCAACTGTGACGGAGAAATTTTGCACGTCGATTTGACCCTCGTCAAAAAATCGTCTCCGAAGATCCGCCATAACGACGTCTTTTTATTCGAAAAATATAAATAAAAATTCATTTTATGTTTTTTTAAATATGTAGAATAAATACCTTTTTACAGATTTTTAATTGCTGTTACCGTTTCCTTAAAAAAAAAAATACTCAAAAATAGGCCTTTTTTCATGGTTCAAAGTGGTGTTAGGCCTTAAGATTTTTTATATATGTTATATGAAATATTTCACGATTGGTCCAAACGTAAATAAGAAAAATTTTATACTTAGATATATAAAAAACAAAATATATAAAGATATTCCTGTATATTGCATATAAATATATAAATTAATTTGTGATAAAACAATTAGTCTTTGATTAAATAATGAATGGTATAGTATATCGTTTGCAAATAATATCGATCACTACATACTTATTTACTTAGTTCTAATTAACTGAATAGTCTTGCGGTCCGATAATTGGATTGGACGCAATTCCGCAAAAGCGTAATACATTGACGGACAAAATAAAAGATGAAAAAAGACGTAAAAATGATAAAAAAACATATTTGCTGGATAGAGAAAATTATAGAAGTGTAATCACGTATACACAGAGATTGTATGAGTACTATAAATAAACTAAATCCCCGTTAGAAAAGAATCTGGAGAAGTGCAAAATTAATATGAGCTAGTATTTTACATGCACACACATCTGGCATTTAACAATAATGATAGTACAATTGCAAATACGAGAATATAACAGCAATCATGTCTTTGCGCATATATTACGTGTAGATTTAAATATTTAAAATATTCACAGATTTCTATATTATATTATTTTATTTTATTTTATTTTATTTAAATAATTTATAATTATAATAATATATAAATAAATAAATAAACAAATAAATAAATAAATAAATAAATATGATCCTCGCTTACCGCTTCCTTGGCGTCTTTTTCAATCGAATCGACATCCAGATCGTCCCGTGTGAACGAGCTGAGCTCGATTTTCTCCGGGGAGATCCCGCTCTCCTGCTCCTGTCCTGATACATCCTGCGCGAAGCTGCGGCTGTCCGCCGAATCGACGCAGCAAGACGTCATCGATCCGGATGATCGATGATCCTTGCCATGTTGCAATGCCGCGATTTCCCGATCGTTCAGCCACCAGCCAAAATTCTCCTCCTCGTTGGACGACGACGAGTCGTATTTTGCGGCGGCTGCGTTTCCTCTTCCGTCCAGATAAAACATCGCTCGGTGATCCTCGACGTTTTCTAATCGACGTGGAGCGCGTACAGATTTTATCACGTCGAAAACTCCGTCTGCAAGAGGAACGACCGATTGACGTGCGGATGAAATCGAGTTTCGCGTAATTCCCGCAAACACCTGACGCACGCTCGTATTTCGATTCGCGCACGATGAATTCTGTAGAAAATTCCGAGATTTGTCAGAATAAATTGTATTCGCCTCGATTTGTCAATAAAAAATCTTGCCCGTCTTTCGATTCTTCGATGATAAATACGAAATGTTATATGAATGGAGGGTCGCTATAAAGTCGAAGTGAAGTGTTAATGCATCAAATATTAAATCATTTAAGTAAATCGTGGAAACCAGCGAGAAGTGTACGTCTCTTTACAGTTCGAAAGTCACACAAGCATTTCAATTATCTTTGCTTATCCTTCAACATCACTATGTTAAGTATACACTTAATATTGAATATGTTACGCTGAACAAACAATATATGAAATTTCCGCCCGTCTGAAATTTCGCGTGTAATGCAATTTTGCGAAATTCCGAAATTCAGTAACTAACTTATGTATTTAATTTAATTTAATAGAGTAATTAATAGTAATTAGTATAATTAGTATAATTTTGCCTTTACAAGAATAATGAAAAATAAGAGATATTATTTGAAAATTGTTTCTTTTACTTATTAATTTTTATCTAAATATAATATATTAATAATTTCATTTTATTCGCAAAACATTTATTTAGCTATATTTTATCGATTACAAAATCCGTTTCTTTTGCCAAAGTTTATTAGCTATTTAAAGCTACTTAGTTTCTTGTATATTTCTCACAAATTTTTTCATTTTAATATAACAAGAAATGTATAAAAAAATATACAAAGTAATCATTATGAGATAAATGCTCATCTCGATATCGTTCTCTTTATTAACTCCATCCATCCGTGATAATTACTGATAGGATCGATCTCTGACAAAATTATTCGACGAGTATAATATCTGATATCCTCGTAATGATCCACATTTGTCAACAAATCACTAAACGATCGCGACTGGTTGGTCAATGGACAAATCGAGCCGCGAATTTCTGTGCTCGACGAAAAAAAAAAAATCACGAATTTTCATCAGATCGCACGCAAATGTATACACAATCTGGTCGGCGCACGCGATTACATCTCCCGGGACAAGAGCGTGTTTTTCGAACCGCACTCGAGGATCGCGTGTCATATTCTGCTGCTGATCGCGTCGTGATCGGAAGGTCAGAACCGCCTTGTGCCGATTGATCGTTCTATGTGCCGTCAGTACGTCGGACTTCGACTGTCCGATGATCCATGTGGTCGTCCATTTCCTTGACCACCGGGTCGTCATGGTGACTAATTTAATAATCTGTCATTTCCCGCTCCGCGTTGCACCTATATACCGGCTGCGTCGATACACGAGTTTCGTTGCGGTTTCTGCGGTCCTTTTTTTTCCCCTCTTTCTCTCTTTTCCCTCGTGTTTCAAAGATCGGGCGTGTAATTGTTCGTGAACCCCTCTTCATCTCTACATTTCGATTTTATCCGCGGCGAAATCACACGTCAATCGCAAAATCCGATCGACAAAAACTTCAATAGCGCACAACTGCGATTCAATACAAATCCTCGTGAAAAAAAATCCTCCCCTTTTTATCGCGCTCGTAGAGAAAAATGTTGCGTGTGCATTTTGAAAATCAGCGCGTAATGCTCGCTGAAATAATTCTCTTCGGCTAAAACTCACGCAAACGCAGTGAAAAAGAATGAGTGACGTATTTTCAACGAATTACACGAAAAGCGCTTACATTTCTAAGCCAAATGAGTAAGAAGATCTGGTTGTATAAACAGAGTCCAGATTAAATGAGCATAAATTTAAAGACTCACCCTTCTTTTTTGAACTGTGTATAATATACTATGATATATAAAAAAAATTTATTTTGAACTTTATTTTTTATTTTTTATATAAAAAAAAAGTTTAGTTTAAATTAATTCTAATTAATTTTAATTCAACTTTTAGTTCAACTTTTCATCAGCTATCGATTTCTTACAGAGTTAAAAATAAATATGATTATGTAAGAGTTATTCAGCTCGCACATACACTGCAGGCCTTAATCAAAACCATATGATCGCTCTTCGGTTTCTTTAGAAACGTTGATTTAAGCTTGACCACGTGTTTTCGCCCTACACGTTATCCCGAAATATCGCGCTTTTTATCGATCTTACACATCATTATTTATTGAGTGCCATTTGACAATTTACGCGATGAGTGTACATGCGATCGCGACGATTCCCGCCGACTGACATGAAATGACGTGTCCACAGGCCCTGTATTCATGATAACTCGTTGACCCGTGTGTATGTCGTGATAATTTCAACTGTGTCGAGTATCAACTGTTCAATGTATAATCGCACGTCGCCACGATGTTGCTAAATAGATAAAAGCAGAGAAGCTCGTATATACAGATAATTGCGATCAAAACATGCGAATTAATTCGCAGGAATTATTATCGACAAATATCTGTAAAAGAGAAATTTTAAAAAAGTTTCGAAATTGCTGTGTAAAAATATTTCTTTGGAAAGAATTGGCACGATCTTTTCCCATTCGAAATCATTTACTTATTAATTTTTATCTAAATATAATATATTAATAATTTCATTTTATTCGCAAAACATTTATTTAGCTATATTTTATCGATTACAAAATCCGTTTCTTTTGCCAAAGTTTATTAGCTATTTAAAGCTACTTAGTTTCTTGTATATTTCTCACAAATTTTTTCATTTTAATATAACAAGAAATGTATAAAAAAATATACAAAGTAATCATTATGAGATAAATGCTCATCTCGATATCGTTCTCTTTATTAACTCCATCCATCCGTGATAATTACTGATAGGATCGATCTCTGACAAAATTATTCGACGAGTATAATATCTGATATCCTCGTAATGATCCACATTTGTCAACAAATCACTAAACGATCGCGACTGGTTGGTCAATGGACAAATCGAGCCGCGAATTTCTGTGCTCGACGAAAAAAAAAAAATCACGAAATTTTCATCAGATCGCACGCAAATGTATACACAATCTGGTCGGCGCACGCGATTACATCTCCCGGGACAAGAGCGTGTTTTTCGAACCGCACTCGAGGATCGCGTGTCATATTCTGCTGCTGATCGCGTCGTGATCGGAAGGTCAGAACCGCCTTGTGCCGATTGACCGTTCTATGTGCCGTCAGTACGTCGGACTTCGACTGTCCGATGATCCATGTGGTCGTCCATTTCCTTGACCACCGGGTCGTCATGGTGACTAATTTAATAATCTGTCATTTCCCGCTCCGCGTTGCACCTATATACCGGCTGCGTCGATACACGAGTTTCGTTGCGGTTTCTGCGGTCCTTTTTTTTCCCCTCTTTCTCTCTTTTCCCTCGTGTTTCAAAGATCGGGCGTGTAATTGTTCGTGAACCCCTCTTCATCTCTACATTTCGATTTTATCCGCGGCGAAATCACACGTCAATCGCAAAATCCGATCGACAAAAACTTCAATAGCGCACAACTGCGATTCAATACAAATCCTCGTGAAAAAAAATCCTCCCCTTTTTATCGCGCTCGTAGAGAAAAATGTTGCGTGTGCATTTTGAAAATCAGCGCGTGATGCTCGCTGAAATAATTCTCTTCGGCTAAAACTCACGCAAACGCAGTGAAAAAGAATGAGTGACGTATTTTCAACGAATTACACGAAAAGCGCTTACATTTCTAAGCCAAATGAGTAAGAAGATCTGGTTGTATAAACAGAGTCCAGATTAAATGAGCATAAATTTAAAGACTCACCCTTCTTTTTTGAACTGTGTATAATATACTATGATATATAAAAAAAATTTATTTTGAACTTTATTTTTTATTTTTTATATAAAAAAAAAGTTTAGTTTAAATTAATTCTAATTAATTTTAATTCAACTTTTAGTTCAACTTTTCATCAGCTATCGATTTCTTACAGAGTTAAAAATAAATATGATTATGTAAGAGTTATTCAGCTCGCACATACACTGCAGGCCTTAATCAAAACCATATGATCGCTCTTCGGTTTCTTTAGAAACGTTGATTTAAGCTTGACCACGTGTTTTCGCCCTACACGTTATCCCGAAATATCGCGCTTTTTATCGATCTTACACATCATTATTTATTGAGTGCCATTTGACAATTTACGCGATGAGTGTACATGCGATCGCGACGATTCCCGCCGACTGACATGAAATGACGTGTCCACAGGCCCTGTATTCATGATAACTCGTTGACCCGTGTGTATGTCGTGATAATTTCAACTGTGTCGAGTATCAACTGTTCAATGTATAATCGCACGTCGCCACGATGTTGCTAAATAGATAAAAGCAGAGAAGCTCGTATATACAGATAATTGCGATCAAAACATGCGAATTAATTCGCAGGAATTATTATCGACAAATATCTGTAAAAGAGAAATTTTAAAAAAGTTTCGAAATTGCTGTGTAAAAATATTTCTTTGGAAAGAATTGGCACGATCTTTTCCCATTCGAAATCATTTAACGATTAATCTGAAAATTTCTAATAATATAAAACACGCCAGACATTTTAAAAATGTCAAAAAATAGTTGCTTTCTGCTTAAATGTATTTCGTAAAAACGAGAATAATTTTTTGTGGAAATTTATTTGCAAAAGATAAGTTACTTTAGATAATTTGTTATTTAAAATTCTATATAAACATAAAGAGTCACTGCAATTATTAATAAAATACCCTCCTTAAAAACGCTAAGAGATTTTTCTCTCCCGATAATATTTTAAATATGGGATGTCTCAGGTTCTCTTGGTACCTAATCAAACAACAGTGTAGAAGATATCTGAGAGATTAAACGTCCCGATTAGTTTAGATTGCCCGGATTAGCCGTCACACAAACGCACTTGTCATTCGCGCCAAACACGAACAAGGCTCGCAGGGGACTCGCGATTAAGTACGGGGCGTGTATATTCCGTTACATCACGGTTTGCTTGCACTGATTAATGACGAGGACAGCACGCAATGTAAATATTCCATCATTCTAATTCGCCGAATATTAATTCAGTCGACGAAGAAAAGTCAATCATCGCACTCCCTGATTATTTTACAATTCTCCTACTCGAAAGAAGGCAACAAGCGATTGATGATTTTCTTTCGCTATCATTCATTGATTTCGACTAATCGATCAACAATTTCTCGACAACATCTCTCTTTCGCTCTTTTGTTCACACAAAACTAGATCATATTTCTGGGAAACGCAACAGGGTCGCTAATCGTTGAGAGGGACAATTCACTATTATCCTCGAAAAAAATCGGAAATTCGAGCTTGTAGTAACGGTGTTTGATTTCGGAATCGATACGTGAAATCGTTTCAAATCATCGTTATATCAAAATAATTGATTTTGAAAAACTGGTAGAGTTATGATATGGATATATCTTTTTACAATAAAAAGTTTATACTAAAAGTTTTATTAAAAAAGTTTATATGAACAAGAGAGTACATTTTATCTTGCTATATTAGATTTTGAAATCAATGTGCGCATTTTTTCGATATTATAAAACTTGACGATTTATTACTTATATCTGAAAATCTTAAATTCGATAAATAAGCTGCTCCATACCTTTCATATATTCATATTTTTAATTCACATTAATATATTTTTTATTTGTTTAATTTAATTCATTTACCTTTGACCTATTTACCGTGCTAAAAAAATTAAATCTTGATAAGCTGACAGGTCGTATGTCATATTGTCAAGAGAATATATAGCTCGCGTCTCTTTGAAAGAGAAGCGCGCCGATAACGCATCGCTTTGCCATCGCGAGGCAGATTGTCTTGCAAACTGAACTGTTTTCCGACCAGTCAGCTTGTGGTCTAGGGGTACGATCGATAAAAGGGTACTAATCGATAGACATGTACGCGTAGGTATTCGAGACTACATGCTGATTTTCGTTTTTTCCGAGGGATTTTTACGGTCAAAGTTCAGCCGACGCGATAGCGAGCGATCGGCAAAAGAGGCGGATTTTCGGCTATATTTTCGGACGAATATTAATCAGAATGACGTCGACAGGCCTTGATCGAGTAAAAAAAATGGTCGCGCATCAGCGATAACGTTATCGACGCGGCGTACGTCGCTGCACCTCGCTATCACATCGCGAGGCAGATTGTCTTGCAAACTGAACTGTTTTCCGACCAGTCAGCTTGTGGTCTAGGGGTACGATCGATAAAAGGGTACTAATCGATAGACATGTACGCGTAGGTATTCGAGACTACATGCTGATTTTCGTTTTTTCCGAGGGATTTTTACGGTCAAAGTTCAGCCGACGCGATAGCGAGCGATCGGCAAAAGAGGCGGATTTTTGGCTATATTTTCGAACGAATATTAATCAGAATGACGTCGACAGGCCTTGATCGAGGGAAAAAAAATGATCGCGCATCAGCGATAACGTTATCGACGCGGCGTACGTCGCTGCACCTCGCTATCAGGTGTAACGGATGCATCTCCGCGACTGAGATCGAGTGTGATTACCACGCAAGATCTACATTTTAATAGCTGAAAATTTTTCACAAATGCCTTTTGTATAAAACGATATTAAAATTTAACGATAATGATATTTTAAATTATAAAAATGATTCAAATTTTTTGAACAAAAAGTTTATTCTGCATCTATCTAAATATTCTAAATCTATTCCATATCTGAAAAGTTAAATTATGAATAAGGATGTTTTATATCAATCCTTGAAATTATGTGTGATAAATTTAAAACAAAAATAAATTTAAAAATTTCATGTTTCTAAAATAATAATGAAAAAAAATATCTAAATCCGCGACTATTTTCAAACGTTGAATTTCTACTTTGTTTCTACTATAAATTTCTACTATTTCTACCTGAATTTTACGTCCCTTATTGTACGACAGGACAAATATACTCTAGCATTTATTTGATTTAATTCAATTAGAAGCTTGTTGCGGTAGCATATCTTAAATTAGTTACACCCGGTATACAGTTTCTAATCACAGTTACCTTGATTTATCAAAGGGAGATTGAATATTAGAATATTTATTATTATAAAAATTGTAAATTATGCATTTATGTGGACATCAAAATATAATTATTAAATAAATAATATTATAATTAATATAATTAATATTATAATTATTAAATAAAAATATCGCGCGTGATCTCTTTTATATATATGTTAGTGTGTTTCGTAATTACAAAAATGATATTGTAATTTTTACTATAATATGTTTTCCGTGTATAAGAACGATAAGAAATTTATTTGGACAAAAATTGCATCTACAAGATACGTTCGTGTTATCGTTCGATCGTGCATGTGTCCTCTCTATATTGCATAATATGTAAATTATCTTTCTTTCTCTTTCCCGGAAACGATTTGTGTTATCCGTTTGCGTTTGTGCGAGACCTCGATTTCGATGGCAATTGTAACGCCGGGAACGAGAAATTCCTCGTTCCATTCTATTAGACGGGTTCACATTTTTCTATTGTA